GAGGAAGAACTTCTTCCCTCTGAGGGTGACAGAGCACTGGCCCAGGCTGCCCAGGGAGGCTGTGGAGTCTCCTTCTCTGGAGATATTCCAGCCCCGCCTGGACGCGGTGCTGTGCAGCCTGCTCTGGGTGACCCTGCTTGGGCAGGGGGCTGGGCTGGGTGACCCACAGAGGTCCCTGCCAACCCCTGCCATTCTGTGATTCTGTGAAATAGCTATTTTCCCTTAGGTGGCAAGGCCAGTTTAAGTCTTCTCATCATGCTAAAGACTAGAAAAACCCAAAGATATCCTTTCTCTCTTTCAATATAGAAGATAACCTCCTTCACTGTCGGGCTGTGGTGTGTGTGTAGGTCTGTCTGTCCCTTTACATAACAAATACTGGATTTCAAGTTACTCCAAGCCAAGAACATACCCCGAACCGAGACGGCAGTACCTTTCTGTTCTGGCTTTCCTGAAGCGGTGGTCGTCTTGGCATGTCTCTTGGAACCTTTTGCCTGTTGTTCTTCTGCATACTTCTGATGGCATTCTTCAGCAGAGCGAGAGCCCACCGCCATGGCCACCTCCACCCAGAAGCCGCTCTTGTGCTTCGGGAACGAAGCGATGGCCCTGCCAAGGGAACAACGCCACAAGCTCCGTCACGCTGAGGAACCGGCGCGACATGGCCACGTAAAACACCCAGAGCCCAACCACGTCTCCCGGAAAGGACACGGCGCCCTGGACGCAGAGAAGTGTGTCTCTGGTGTCTTGCCCAGACACTTTAAAACATGCACAAATTTGTCTGAACAATTTAAGCTAACAGCTCCGTTACAAAGTAAATTTCTTTCTCCTCTGCAGCAGGTCCCCTCCCTCCCTGCAAGAGCTCATGCCTTTTCAGGTTTCTAATCGAAAAGAATGGTCATTTTATTACTTAATGTATATATTAAAACTGCCCAGTAGCTTAAGTAATTGGATGATGCGTTCATTAAACATGCTGGCAGTTAATCTCCCCTTTACAAGGCTTAAATACACAAGCACATCGTGTTTAATATTTTATTCCATTAGGGGAGATAATATGCTACCTCTGATTTACTGTCCAAATCCTACATATCAATACTTTTACCCTATTACTTACCTACTTGTGTTTTTCGATTTTACTCATAGGAATGTTTATCAATTTTAAGAAGATTAAGTATGTGTTTTTGAAAACCAGGTAGTGGAGTAGATTCACAAAATTTTGCCCAATATCTGTGTTCCTCCCCCTTTACACTGTGACAGTGGCAGGGGCTGCTGGAGGCTCACGCATCTACAGCTGTAAAACACTTGGTTGTCTCCTTTATTTCACTATTTTTCAATTTGTTAACAAAATTTATTTTGGAAGAGGGAATTAAAATGTAAAGGAAACCTTTAAAATAACGTGAAAGAGACTGAAGTGAAAACTCCAAACCCGGAGGGTGCAGACGCGTCGGTGAACGGTGCCTCCCGTGCCCGCGGGCAGCGCTGCCCTCGGAAGGCAGGGCAACCACTTGCCTGTAGAGCTTCTGCAGCTCCTTCTCCGACCAGCCGTCAGCCGCCCTTGGAAAGAGTTCCAGAGATCTCTGCTCCTTTTCCCTCTCACGTTCTGTTGCTTTTGCCGCTGAAGACTTGGCAGAATTAGAAACCTTATTTCTTTTCTTATGGGATACTTTTGAATTCTTTTCTTTTGCTTGAAACTGCTCTTTGTTGGTTTCAGGCTCCGTGTCAGACTCCAGGATGTACCGTGGGGGGTGGGCTCTGCTGCCAGTCCTCCGTGCCCTGTCGGGCGGGTGGGAGGTGCTGGACTCGCTCAGAGGGGTTTTGCCTTCCAGAAAAACAGAACCACCAGCAGATCCGGGCACACCTGGCCGCAGCGGCCCGTTACGGGAGGCAGCAGGGTGTGTCACTGTCCTGTGCTCGGAGGACACCTTGTCTGCATCATCCTGTGAACTTTTCAGGTGAGAGGAAGACTTGTGGTTTTGAGTCTCCTCTTTGAACAAAGGTTTGCTTTTCCTTTTGATAAACAGCGGGATGTCTTCGCTGGATTCCTCTTCCTCATCTTTGCTTGACGATTCTTCCGTTAAGTGCTTGTTTTGAAGATGTTTAGCTGACCTTAAAGAGTACTTGTAAGCCTGCTGATACACAGTCAGCTCTCCATATTCTGTTCCTCTCTTCTCCGCTGTCGTTCCTGGGATTCTGCTGTTACAGTTATCTTTGTTTAGGGCATCAGTATGTAAGGGAGTCAGCTTAACAGGAGGCTGTGTTTTATTTTTCATACTGTTGATCGCATGATTGCTTTCATCATCCTCTGAAATGAAGTGCCTGGCCTCCTTGCCTCCAGCGGACTTGGCTTCTCTTTTGGAACTTACTCCTTTTTCGCTGTTTTTCCCTGAAAGAGAAGATGTCAGTGTAACGTCACACATTGCAGCGTAAATCGTTGCTGTGTTCTCAGCAAGAAAAGCTGCCCCTGCCGCGGGACGCAGCGCATCCCACGCTCGTTAAGACTCACGACCTCCTCTCCGTCAGAGACTGCGGTCTGCAGGGAGAGCCAAGCGGCACGCCCGCAGCTCCCCGTGTTCTGCAGAAGCCTCTCCCCACACCAACAGGACGCGAGAGTTCTCCAGGACAAGGAGGTATTCTGTCGAATGGTCGTGCTGGGATACAAAAATAAATCAAATGCTGCTTCCCTCCAAATCACACCAAAACGTCACTTCAGAGAGAAACTGGTGATGGCAGGGAACGCTCCGTCACGCTCTGGACTGCCTGCTCCGTCCTCTGAAATGAAGTGCCTGGCCTCCTTGCCTCCAGCGGACTTGGCTTCTCTTTTGGAACTTACTCCTTTTTCGCTGTTTTTCCCTGAAAGAGAAGATGTCAGTGTAACGTCACACATTGCAGCGTAAATCGTTGCTGTGTTCTCAGCAAGAAAAGCTGACCCTGCCGCGGGACGCAGCGCATCCCACGCTCGTTAAGACTCACGACCTCCTCTCCGTCAGAGACTGCGGTCTGCAGGGAGAGCCAAGCGGCACGCCCGCAGCTCCCCGTGTTCTGCAGAAGCCTCTCCCCACACCAACAGGACGCGAGAGTTCTCCAGGACAAGGAGGTATTCTGTCGAATGGTCGTGCTGGGATACAAAAATAAATCAAATGCTGCTTCCCTCCAAATCACACCAAAACGTCACTTCAGAGAGAAACTGGTGATGGCAGGGAACGCTCCGTCACGCTCTGGACTGCCTGCTCCTTCCCCGTTTGAGACACACGTGGCACAGGTTACCCACAACCCGCTTCCCCAGCTACCTGGCAGGTAGCGACAAACCCACTGCTGCTGCTCAGGGATGCCCAGAACCTCACCAAGCACAGCTGAGTGGAAACAGCACCTGGTGAAGCTTCCCGAGATGGCTACGCCTCCTACGCGTGTCTCGGGAGGACCACGGCCTTCTCCCCTCACGCACGCACTCCTGCGCGCTCGGGATCGAACTCTGCCGGAGCAGGAGGCTACGCCACGCAGACGGGACAGGTCAGGAGGCAGAGAACACCCCTCCACACGCTGCCCTTCCAGCAGGAAGGAGGCAGAGAACACCCCTCCACACGCCGCCCTTCAAGGAGGACGCAGCTTGCGGGCAGCTGTGAGCGCTGCTCCCGCTGCACCTGGGGGACCTCCTGCTGCTGCCCAGCCCGCTCCCACCACAGCCTGCGTCCCGACGGCTACGGGAATCGGGATTATCACGGGAATCGGGATTATCACGGCGACAAAAGGGGACGGGACAGCACTGAGCAGAGAAGGAATAAAACAGGAAACCAAGGGTTGCCAAAACGCTGCCCGAGGCTGAGCGAACACCAGCATCCCAAAAGCTTTACTCCTGCTACAAACAGCTTCTCTGCAGGAAACATCACAGCTGCTTTAAAAGAGAAACTTCTGCTTTACATTTACATTGTTTTCGGAGCTCTAGCATTTCCAAAATTTTACTAAAGGTTTTAAAACTTTGTTAATACACTTTTTTTGCCTGCATAGGCATCTCATTTATTTTAATTCATTCAGCTTAAAAAGTAAAGCGGGACCACCAGTTCCCTGGACCAGCCAGCTCCGCTGCTCTCTCAAGGCCCACGGAAGAGCTCTGTTGTGAGATCCAAAGTACAGGAGCAGAAGCTTAAAAAAAGCCACAATCCTTTCATTTCAGTTTCCAGAAAGAAACCTGCATGCTCCCGCTATGTAAATAAGGAAGTGATTTACAAACATACTTTATATTCGGAGCTGCAGAACTAGGAAAGCAGGCATTAACGCTCCTCTGGTAATTCCTCATAGAAGAAGCAGCTGACCATTAACAGCCTTAAATAATTTCTTTGCATTAACAAGACATCACCATGCTGCTCCAGCACCCACCTCATAATCCCACTGCTTCTAGTCAATAACTTTAAAAAAAAAAAGAAGAAAAATTTACCTTTACTTTGGCTTTTTGGCATTTCTTCGGTTGTCTTCACTACTTCCTTTCTTTTGTTCTTCTTGGAGATGGAGCTGGTGTTTCTTTGGGACTTTTCGCTACTAAGCATCTTCAAAATAAAACAATTTAATCTAAGCTTCTGCAAGAGATTACATATCAAGCCTACCGAGGCCAGCTCTGAAAAAGGCAGATGTTTACAGGACAGGTAGATTTCAGTCGCCTGCGCCAACCAGCACCTACTAAACACTATTTGAGGAACACAGATGTTTGTACGAATGCATGCAACCAAAGCAACTTAGCCAGACTCCCTTCGAACTTAAATAGTCTAACACACAAATTCAAGTCTCCAGACTGAGAACTGCCTCAGCTGGTGGTAAACTGGACGCAGGTCTGCACTGCCGCCGCTGATGAAGGTGTTGGTGCACCCTCCTCCCCATGAGCTCAGCTCCACGAGAGATTGAAAAAAAAACACCACAAAGAACGTGGTTTTCCTTCGCAGAGTGCTGGAATCGATCAGAGCAGCACACCTCCCTCAGAACCGGGCGGCCTGGGCAGATCGGGACACAAGAAACGAGGAGGTATCTGATGGCTGAAACCCCGCGCGGGCAGGGGAGAACCCAGGGCAGCGCAGAGCACCACCACAGCTCACCTGCAGCCCGACGTCCTCGGGCGGTTAACCGCTGTGGCAGGGCCTCAGCACGACACCAGGGCAGAGCACGTTGCACTGGGGAACCTCTGCGACCCACACCAGTACCTGTGGGCAACCTCCTCTTCCATACAGGCAGCTTAAACACCCACTCCCTTTTCTAGAAGCAATTCCCCGTTATCCCCAATTTAAAGACAACAATTACCTGATAATGCAGAGATGAAGACTACTTTTTTGTTTGTTTTAAAAAGTTTTTATAACGTTTTCGAGATTTCCTGCCTCTTCACGTACTCGTAAGATACCTAGCCAAGTTTATTCATTATATTTAAGATACATTTAAGTGACAATATGCAAAAGAATCTTACCATGCTCAAATAATCGACTCCACCTTCTTCTATCGTGACATTTAGGTTCTGATCAACAAATTCGCGTTGCCCACACCAGAAACTTAACGGTGGCTTAACAAGACGGCCACTACGAGTGTAAACTCTGTTTGAGTCATTCAATATGGAATTGCGGTTCGGTGTTATATCTACAAGAAAAAAAAAAAACAAGAAATACAGTTTTGTGCCAAATACTGTGTTGAAAATTCAGTTTCAACAAGGATAGCATAGGAGCCATGTTTAAATATCATGTTTAAACCAGCTCATTTGCACTGACCACATGGAAAATACACCACTTACTACAACGTTGTGCTGTTCTTTTAGAAGTGTTCAGGTCAGAAATAAGCATACCTTAATATGACTGAAGTAATCACCTTCACAAATTATAACATTTACTGTTGTGAGCTTTTTATTTTTGCTTTGTTTAGAAGGTTAGAAATACTGTAAAAGTCATACAGGGAAGCAGAATGATCAAGAGAAGTTGTCACACTGAACCAATCCTAACTGTAACGAGAGAAAACACAAACCAGCTTTTATAGTGTTAGCAATAAAATCTGCCTAGAGTCTTAACGCACAGTACAAGGAAGTCTGGCCAAAGCCCTGCTGCAATCTATGACAAGATATTAAAAAGGAGTGCCAAGCACTTTGACAGAGGTGTTAAATCCCACGGGCGTCCCTGAAGGATGAGCAGGAGGGTATGTTATGCAAAATAGAAACTGGGATAAAATTAAGCCAAGCTTGCTGGCAGAATAAACAGCTCTGGAGTCCCTGCCTTCAGGGGGCTACTCCTGCTTTGTGCCCAGGGGTAACCTGCAGGACGGCCCCTACACCCGCGCTGTAGCTGCTGCACACCAGCAGACCTGAAGTGAAGGAACGAGTCAGCGCTCCTGATCGCTGCAGCCTACGTGAACACAGACAAGAAACGTCACCCGGTGAGTCACAGAATCACAGAATCACAGAATCGTAGGGGTTGGAAGGGACCTCTGTGGGTCATCTAGTCCAACCCCCCTGCCGAAGCAGGGTCACCCACAGCAGGCTGCACAGGACCTTGTCCAGGCGGGTCCTGAATATCTCCAGCGGAGACTTCACAACCTCCCTGGGCACCCTGTTCCAGTGCTCCGTCACCCTCAGAGGGAAGAAGTTCTTCCTCACGTTCAGACGGAACTTCCTGTGCCTCAGTTTGTGCCCATTGCCCCTTGTCCTGTCACTGGGCACCACTGAAAAGAGCTTGGCCCCATCCTCCTGTTACCTCTCCCATACAGCCTAATTAACAAGGTACAAACCGGACAGACAGCAGGTTTGCTGGGGACATCAGCTCTCAAACTCCCCCAGCTGATTTCCAAAGAAAAGGATTATTAAATACTCACAAAGGTTTTCACCATTCTTCGGCGATACTTCACATGTGGTGTTTCTGGCTCCAGGTTTCTTCACACCTCTTGCTGCATCTTCTGCATTTTTCAACACATCTGTACCCACCACTGAGTCGCTCTCTTCATACTCATCCTCACCACTCTGTTGTTTTCGTTCTTTCCTAATGATGTGGAATTTAAGAAAAGAAACAATAACCGTCTGCAGCAGCTGTCCTTTAACAGCACACTGACTTACACAAACTCAAAGCCTTCTCCTTGCCTCGGGAAGAGCCCGACAGCCTCGTGCAGCTCCGCTCACACCGACTCTGCGACCCACTACAGCCACGAAGCCCTTTGCTTGCATCTACTCCAAGGCTGTGTAAATGGGTGGAACAAACCCCAACCAGCATGATGCGGAAAGGTACCAGGGCATCCTTCCAAAGCAGGGACTGGTATTTGCCTGGAACACAGTCTCCACACACACATCTACAGTCTTTTGTAGTCCCCTCGCGTAATATTCTTAAAAAGCAAAGTTTCAATAAATACTTCAAGAACATTGCAATGAAACAGAATCTCCAAAGAAATTACCTCCTCCTTTCCTCCAGAAACTCCTCAACATATTCCTTCCACCTTTTGGAAAACCCGTACGTAAATCTTTTGATGAAGCGGTAGGGAAATCCTGTTTGAAACAAAACGTAGCATTAACAGTAGCTGAGCACTGCTCTCGGTCAGAAAGGGCAGACATAACATCCAGTACAATCATAGTTTTGCAAGTATGCCAGAAGCTCGCTACATCTGGAAACACTGGAGAGAGAGACACCTCCCCAGCTTAAGAGAACTTCACGGAGCAGTCAGCCAAGGGGCCATTAATTGCAGGCATCAGTACCTGCAGACAGGACGCAGTGCCTGGGAGCCGCAGCACAGGCCTTGCCCCGCGCATCCCGCTGGAGTGGCACGGGGCTGCTTGGCGCAGTCCCACGGGGAGCCAGAGGCTTTAGGGCTCCAGCGAGGTCCAAGCTGCTTGGACTTACCATGTTACCAAGGCAACTCCACACGGAAGAGAACTTTATTTTGCTTAGCCTAACTTTAACTTTGTGTGTAAATTAAATTTCCTTTAAAACACCACATGCTTCAAAACACCCTGAAGCAGGAAGTTTTGCTGGACGTGGTATAACAGACCACTTAGACCCTAAAGATGGGTCCATTCACTAAGTTACAAAGCACTGACGCCACAGATAGTCTGTCTCCAAGCAGAAATTCAATGTAATGTTGCAGAGCTAGTGGTTAATCACCGAATAGTGAATCAATGCGAAGACCAGAGTAATTTCAGTAGCGCACAAGCAATCCCTATTTGAATGCCTTAGCACTATTTAAATGCCAAAACGTTGACCAAAATTACATAAAGGCAATCTTAGCCTAAAAACAGTTGAGTTAAAAGAACGTACCCCTTAGCCAACATCATGCTCCGAAAGCCCGCTCTAACTGCAGCACCCTAAAAACGCCTGCTACAGCGACCGCTAGACAGTACTGAGACAGCTGATGCTGGAGTCACGTCCCAGTCTGGGCTGAACGCCCACCGAGCCTAGTCAGCAGGGTAAGGCAAACCGTTCGCTTCAGCAGCACGTTCAATCAGAAATCTAGAGCCCTCCAAAGTTTGTAATGTTACCTTAAGAATGGTCCTCTTACCTTCTTTTCTCATCGAAGCGGAATCTATATTTCCCTGTAGCAAGTAGATACTGCCAGATGACGTTTTAACTTGGTTGTGTGCTATGCGCTCCATGATTGCATTACTATGCCAAAACAGGTCTTTCATGTCTCTAAGAAAAGACAGATAACATGAAGAGCAGATATAAAACATTATTTTCATAAAAGAAGGAATTTAAAACTAGAATATTGATATTCCACACGAGACTGGCAGCGCTACATATTTTATGAGCTATACAGACACTGGCAGGATGCTCTAGGTTTTCTTTCCTTCGCTTGGAAGAGCAACGGTTCTGGCCTTGTCTAAGGCTTGGACAGGAGACAAAACGGACATGTCAGCTACTGCAAACGTTAGTCACAGAACGTCAGCTTGACGTGAGGCTGCAGAAGCAAAACGCACTGAAGGACTCCATCCAGCTCATTACTGCCGCGATAACATCACGCGAGTGACAAAACTGCCATTGTACAGGTCAAATGTGTATTTGCCCCAGGATTACTACATCTATTTCTGACCTTCCTATTTAAAGGCAAGAACTGAAGAAGCAGCCCTAATACGTGCAAAAAATTGAGTTGTTAAGAAATTGTTAAGGGACTTCTCCATGAGAAATGAAAAACAGACACAAGCATTAAAGCAGAAAATCTACAGAGTGTGTGGGTGGGTTGTTTGGTTTTGTTTTTGGGGTTTTTTAAAATATACTTTTACAATAGTAACCAACAGACCAAACTACAGAACAGTATTAAGGACTGAGGCCAAGACGACAGTGAAAACATTCAACTGTATAACTTGTCATAAAGTATTGACAGAAATCAACAGAGGGTCTATAAAGCAAATCAAATGTGACGTGTACGCAGCATGTATCGGATACACGCCAACATAAACGAAAAGAGAACGTGTTGCTAGTAGCGAAGGGTGCAAAGGGAGAGGACCCGTTGTTTCTGCACAGCCATGAAACAAACGTCAGTTCCCACTGCCAATCCCTCCACGGATCCGAAGCCTCCTGGCACCGCTCAGTAAGCAAACCGAATGACTTCCTTTCACAGCGCTACTGCTGTTGAGTGAGGCTCCGAGTTTTCAGTAGATACGTAACTGTGTCCAGTATTTACTAACTACAGAACGAGTAGAATACTCTTTTCCAGAGGTGTATTTTCACAACATCTTCAAACAATTTTATTGCAAGCCAGATCTCTCCTTTGTTGTGACACTTGTTTTGCTGACCTTACAGCTATTTGAATACAATCTGCCCAAAAACATCACCAAAAACCTGCAGATTCACTTCTCGGGTGGATCAGCCGCTGCCATGGATCACCACACAGCCGTAGGAGTAACAGTGCCATCACAAATGATACGGCA